GTGTCACATCCTAATGTCTGCGCAAGCTTGTCCAAGTGCCCGCCAAAGATCTTCCTTGTCATGCGGCGACATGTTTTGCCGCAAGGCAAAGCTCCAGCAAAAGGTCCACAATCTCTGGCAACACGGATACAGTTCTGAGCGGGTGCACTTGAGCGGGTGTGCTTACCATTTGGCAGGCATGGATACAGTGCTGAGCGGGTGCACTTGAGCGGGTGTGCTTACCATTTGGCAGGCATGGACACAGTGCTGAGCGGGTGCACTTGAGCGGGTGTGCTTACCATTTGGCAGGCATGGATGCAGTGCTGAGCGGGTGCACTTGAGCAGGTGTGCTTACCATTTGGCAGGCATGGATACAGTGCTGAGCGGGTGCACTTGAGCGGGTGTGCTTAATACTTGACAGGCATGGATACAGTGCTGAGCCTCAGCGGGTGCACTTGAGCGGGTGGGCTTAATGACCATTTGGCAGGCATGGATACAGTGCTGAGCGTGTGCACTTGAACGGGTGTGCTTACCATTTGGCAGGCATGGATACAGTGCTGAGCGGGTGCACTTGGGCAGGTGTGCTTACCATTTGGCAGGCAGGCATGGACACAGTGCTGACCGGGTGCACTTGAGCGGGTGTGCTTACCATTTGACAGGCATGGATACAGTGCTGAGCGGGTGGGTGGGCTTAATTACCATTTGGCAGGCATGGATACAGTGCTGAGCGTGTGCACTTGAACGGGTGTGCTTACCATTTGGCAGGCATGGATACAGTGCTGAGCGGGTGCACTTGAACGGGTGTGCTTACCAATTGGCAGGCGTGTGTACATATATACAGAGACTTATACCGTGTACATCTATATATGTAAATACCCATATATGTATTCATATTGTTTTGCTTCTGATGATTGCTCTTCCACTGCTGGTGAGCTTCTGAGCTTCTCCCTTGGATGCTCTTCTTCTGAGTTCTTGCATAGTAGTCCGTGTAGTCGATGGTCTCGATGTAGTCCTTGCAAAAATGAGCTTCTCCACTCCACTGATGCTCTGCTTCTGAGTTCTTGCATAGTAGTCCGTGTAGTCGATGGTCTCGATGTAGTCCTTGCAAAAATGAGCTTCTCCACTGATGCTCTGCTTCTGAGTTCTTGCATAGTAGTCCGTGTAGTCGATGGTCGCGATGTAGTCATGTTGAGGAAGAAAACTGTTTTGGTGAAAAATGCAGGAAAACGTACGGGCCGTTATGCGCCCGTTACCAACAACAACAACAACAACAACAACAACAACAACAACAACAACAACAACAACAACAACAACAACAACGGCAGCGGCAGCGGCAGCGGCAACGGCAACGGCAACGGCAACGGCGGCGGCGGCGGCGAGGCAACACCAACAGCAGCAGCAGCAGCAGCAGCAGCAACAACAACAGCAACAGCAACAGCAACAGCAACAGCAACAGCAACAGCAACAGCAGCAGCAGCAACAGCAACAGCAACAGCAGCAGCAGCAGCAACAGCAACAAGCAACAAGCGACAAGCAACAAGCAAAAGAACCGACAGCCACAGCAACACCCTCAGCAGCAACACGAACCAACAAACAGCAACCGCAACAACAACGACCGCAGCAGGAGCAGCAACAACAACCAAACAAGAAGAATAAGAGGAATAGCAAGAACATCAACAAGAGCAGCAGCAAGAGAAAGAAGAAACGGGACAAGCAGAAGCAGCACAGCGCAGGCAGAGCAAGGCTACGAATGTGGCGAGGGCGACCTGTCATTGGGGAGGAACATGAAACTATGCGAGGCAAGACGTAAGGGCCAAGCGCTTGACGTCCTGGGACTTTTCTTAGGGTGCCGATATGTGCCCATGTAAGGGGGCCAGGAGATCTGTTATCTGCGTCACCGTGCCGCAGGAGCTGCAAAGCAATCCACCGCCCAAGAGCGATCTGCGACTAGATCGGTGGTTGGAGCGCAAGCTGCTGCACCAGTCCGCGCCGCGCTGGGGTGCCCCAGTGAGCGAGTGCAGCCAACCAGAAGCCAATGGGTGTGTCCCTTTGCGGGGAAGCTGAAGAATGAAGAACAATTGAGCTCCAGCCCCTCCCCTCAAGAGCAAGAAAGGATGAGCCGCGATGGCTGCATCCAAGGCCAGGGCTACGCGTCACTGGATCCATTTGCGCTGCAGGTGCTTTTCCAGGCACCGAAAAACAATTCTACTGGAAAGGCTCCGCGCTAGCACAGCACCTGTGGGAACCCCTTGGTTTGGAAAAGGAATCCTCTGAAAAGGAACATTCTGGTGGGTTACATGCTGGCGCGCGTGACGGTTGCATGCTGGCGCGCGACCTTTTATCCGTTTCAGTTGTCCGTTTTGATTCCATGCATCAACAGAATGGAAAATGGGGGCTGATTATCTACGGGTAACTTGGATGAGCTCTCCATGTCCTTGGGATCAGAGATTTTGTTTTAACGGCGTCGCTCTCGCGCAACCCGCAAAACGCACCCATGGAATGCAGGCACCTGACCTCTTGCTGGCGCCCATCGCGGTGAGCCCCATGCTGTCGAAGCGCGAGCTGCGAGAGCTGCATTTGCGATGCCAGGACAGCTTAACAAAACATGGAACCTCAAAGTCTATGTCTTCACGCTGAAAGAAGCTGGGTTGCTGCATGCATGGCCTCTGGGCCGTTTTACGGTTCAAGATGGAAGGAAGCCAATGACGGGCAATGCAAGGTGCTTTAGCCCTAGACAAGACCATTTGTGACATCTTTTGTTCACGGGGAAGGAGCTTCTTCATCCCGAAGAAGAATTTGAATCGACCCAAGTATTGCCCTTGAGCTCAAGCTCAAAATAACATGGCGCGGATTCAAACAGCCATTGCAGCGCAAAGTTGTTGGTCCGCTCCAGTTTGGTGCAGCTTTAGGCTTTTGATGTTTCCCGTCAAAGCGTTTGAAAGCACATGCTGCTTTGAATGCACTGAATCAATTCGCAGGCCAACTTTGAGCTCATGACTGTTGCATCAGGAGGATACCAGCTGCTTTAAGCAGAACTTGACAAAGACGGCCGAGATGCAACTCCCTAAGAGAGATCCTCAGCACAATCTCCTGCTGCTCGACTGCGCATGGAAACTGAGCTTAAATTGGTGCTAGCCCGCCTTGTTGATGCCGCAGGGGGCGCTCTAAAAACTTGGTCTGACCGATTCGTAAAGTCCCCCCCTCTCCCCTTTGTGACGATAGCTTGTGACGGAGGCCCAGGCTTTGGGACTTCCAGCAGACCCATGAGATCTGAGCCTCACAGACCTTCCCCCTCGCCGTAACGTAACAGACCACTGGAAGACAAGTAACTATCAGAGCTGAGTTTGACAACGCAGAATTTCAAAAAACAAAACTTGTATTGCCGGGAACCTCCCTGCAACACCTTTGACTCAATCTCGAAATTGGAGACCTAGGCCAAAATCATGCTGCATGTTTTGGCAGCAAAGCAAGAACACACTGAAATGTGCAGTTCTAGGCAATTTTGTTTGAGCTCAGAGTGCATCTGCAAGAAGAGGCGCGAGAGATTCAAGAGAGCGTTTTCCCATCTACATGCTCAACCACTCTCAACCAGCATCGGCTGATTTGTTGAACAACATTTGTTGTATAGGCTCTCTGTGGGTAAACTGACGGCCCTTAATGTGCTCTTGTTCACTTGTAAGATTTTAAGTGCTGAGAAAAAAGGCGCGCGGCATGCTTCGCCACTCCAAAGGCAGCAGCTTTCACCCTTGTGGTGCGATTGGCCAGCAGTGATTGGAGTGTTAACGCACGTCTTGAAGGAATTGTGCGCCATGTGCGGTAATGCCTCAAACATAGTCTCGACTGGCGTTTCGCCAGAAAACGCGGAAGAAATGCCAAGGGACAGCTCGAAGAAAAGCTGTTGTATAAAGACGTGCTGCAGGCGTTTCTTAAAGCACAATGCGATTGCCCGGTTGGTTTTGCCATTTGCAGTGAGGAAGGGGTGTGAAGTTCTAGCTCAACTGAACCCAATTTAAAAACTGGCAACATGATCGCCTCCTTATGACAACTACCCACTAGTTGTGCAGATTATGAGTGATGCCGAGGTGTTGGCAGAGCTATGGTTTCCAATGTGTGACCGCTAGGAAAAGCTATCTTGATGAGTTTGCGAAGGGTGCTGAGCTGTTTCAGCTACATCTAAACTCCCAAATTTAAATTGGGATGATTGTTGAAAATGAATGAGCCATAGGACACATCCCAGCAGCCAATTGTCATGCTGTTTGAACGTCGGGTGAGAAACGAAAACATACCTGCTGCTTGTAAAATGATTGGTTATTCTTACGGCGTCAGTGAGAGCCAGACTTGGATTGTTCGATTGCTGTGATGCTGCTTGTGCCAAGCCTGTACAGCATGGGAAGTAGTTTTGATGCGCGACATGGCGTGCGTCCTTGCACCGAGCGGCAATGAGATCATCACAGAGAAAGAGTTCGCCCATTGGTGGGAAGATCACTGTGCGCTGCGAGAGAGCGGCAAAAGTTTTATTGACTTGCTGCGGCAGCACGTGGCAAAGCGGCAGGGTTTTGCCAACTTTCGGCAGCTTGCTATTGTTTGTCAGGAGAGCACGCTGGGACGTGACAGCCCCTGGGACAATTTGAGGCCCTTAGTGGCAATCAGACGATCATATGCCGAGAACTCTGAAGGCGACATCCAGGCCTGTGTTCAGTTCATGGAAGCAGCCCGTGGTGGCTTGATCAACGATGTCGTGCAGTTGTTAGAGAGGCCTTTTGACCCAAACATGACATACACATTAGCAGAGGGGCGCCGGACCGTAACAGCATTGCACCTTGCTGCCGCCAATGGCCATCAAGATGTGGTTTGTGTTCTGCTGGAGTCTGGCGCTGAGAAGGACAAAGCTGACAATAAGGGCTGCACACCGATTTTCATTGCTTCAGCCAATGGCCATGAAGAAGTTGTCCGATTCTTGTTGCAGATGGGTGCTGACAAAGACAAGGCGACCCACAGGGGTCGTACTCCCATATTTGCTGCTGCGAAAGGACATTTGAATGTCGTGCTATGTCTTCTCCAAGCCGGCGCCGATAAGGACAAGGTTGACGACGACGGGCGCTCACCGATGTTTATTGCTGCTGCCCGTGGCCATGAGGAAGTTGTGCGCGTGCTACTGCAAGCAGGCGCTGATAAGGATAAAGCCATGGGAGGCATTACGCCGATGTTTGCCGCCGCCTGCAAAGGCCATAGGGCGCTTGCGAGTTTTTTGCTGTCCTTTGGCATTGATTGCAGCCGACGCTGAAGATGCTGCCACCTGCAATGAGGGCTAGATTTCAGCTAACCTTCGCGATCCGGCAAAGGAATGACGGAATGACGCAATGTGACAAAAAAAATCTGGGCCAAGAGAGACTGCACGTGAGTTGCTTACAGGTACTCCTTCCCCTGCACATTCATTGGAACCCAAATGAGAGAGTCCCCAAAGCAAGCTTCCTTTGAACGTGATGGCTTTGGGGTTCCCTATTAATCATTAAATCCGCAGGGGAGAAGCCACGAATTAAGCCCAAGGCCAGAAAATTATGTGGAGTGTTTGGGATTAGTTCAAAGCATGAACATGTAAGCAGGGATATCAACGACTGTCCTGTAAAAATGTTTTTCTCGTTGTGTTTCGTGATTTGCTTGTGTCGGCTTCTTGGCCTGCAGGCTTGTCTTCAACGAGGACCCGCCTGCGCAAACCAGCTCCCTCACAATGGAGCAGATTTTGCACACTTCCATGCGAATGTCGTTTTGGGCAAGGAAGTGGGACTGAACGCAGATATAATCAAACTGAGGCGCGCCCCATCCCCATGTGACGTACTCAAAATTAGGAGGGATTTTCATAGTGGTGAGAGGTGGGTAGTGTTTGGACGCCCGTTGAAAGGACGACGGGATTTGGGAAGGCAGCTGGAATGCAGAGGAGCAGCAGGCTGGGGTGCTGACTCGAGTTGATTTATCCGGGTTCAGCGCATTTCGCCTTTGCTCTTTGCTGGCAGGCGTTTCGCAACATGGAGGCCAAGCAAACCCTCGAGCTGTGATGCGGGAAAAGCGTGCAGACTGCAGACGCATTTGCTGCCCTTGTAAACATCCGGAAAGGCGGCCTCAAACATTATTGATGGCGGTTCAAGAACATTGCGCTTCGCGGTTGGTAGGGCTGCAGCATCACCTGGATCGCAGCAGCACAGGTGGTTCTCCAGAACCACTGAGACAATGATTCTCCCTATGTTGCAAGCTGCTCAGCCCCAAAACAAAGCAAGTTACAGGGGCTATTACAGAGTGCTACCCAAAACACACGAAACTATACGCTACTGACAGAATCGGCAGGCTTGCAGTTTGATGGCTTGCGTGTGTGAGGTGCGGAACCTGAGCCAAAACCCCATAGCTGGCTTCTCAGAGCCTTCCCCCCCGGCATTTGTGGTGCCGGGTGGTACTGTCAGGATCCAAAATTTTGTGGCTGTCCCCCAGCGACTGTTCAAATGCCAGGTTTCAGGAACCCTTTTGACATCATACCCCATTTACAAGGCCCATGGTGATGGGCCAGAATCTAGCGTCAAGTTTGAGAGAGCTGAGATGTGCTTTTGCAGATGCTCATGTATCTGTGTGTGTGTGTTTGTGTTTGTTTGTGTGTTTGTGCATTTGGTGTTTGTTTGTTTGTTTGTTTGTTTCTCTGTTTCCCTGTTTCTCTGTTTCTCTGTTTCTCTGTTTCTCTGTTTGTGCGTGTGTGTTTGTGTTGTGTTCGTGTTTATTTGGTGCATGTCTGCTTGCGTGTCTGTGTGTGTGTGCCTGTGTCTGTCTCTGTGTCTGTGTCTGTTTTGTTTCCTAGGGTCTATGTCCGTGTGTTTGTGTCTGTGTGTGTTTTCTTGTGTGCGTGTGTTTGTTCTTGTATGTGTGTGTGTGTGTGTTGGAGTCTGTGTGTGTGTGTGTCAGTGTTTGTTTCTTTGTTTGTCTCTGCGTTTGCGTGTCTGTGTGTCTGTCTTTGTGTGGTTGTGCGGTTGTGTGGTTGTGTGGTTGTGTGGTTGTGTGGTTGTGTGGTTGTGTTTTTTTGGTGTGTGTGTGTGTGTGTTGTGTTTGTGTTTGTGTTGTGTGTGGTGTGTGGGTGCGTGGGTGCGTGCGGGCGTGCGCGCGTGCGCGCGCGCGTGCGTGGGCGCGTGTGTGCGTGTGTGTGCGTGTGTGCGTGTGTGCGTGTGTGTGTGAGTGGGTGCGTGCGTGCGTGCGTGCGTGGGTGCGTGGGTGCGTGGGTGCGTGGGTGCGTGGGTGCGTGGGTGTGCGTGTGGTGCGTGTGGTGCGTGGGTGCGTGGGTGCGTGGTGTGCGTGGTGTGTGGTGTGTGTGTGTGTGTGTGTGTGTGGTGTGTGGTGTGTGTGTGCGTGGTGTGTGTGCGTGTGTGCGTGTGTGTGTGTGTGCGTGTGTGTGGTGTGTGTGTGCGTGTGTGCGTGTGTGCGTGTGTGTGTGTGTGTGTGTGTGTGTGTGTGTGTGTGGGTGTGTGTGTGTGTGGTGTGTGTGGTGTGTGTGTGTGTGTGTGTGTGTGTGTGTGTGTGTGTGTGTGTGTGTGTGTGTGTGTGTGTGTGTGTGTGTGTGTGTGTGTGTGTGTGTGTGTGTGTGTGTGTGTGTGTGTGTGTGTGTGTGTGTGTGTGTGTGTGTGTGTGTGTGTGTGTGTGTGTGTGTGTGTGTGTGTGTGTGTGTGTGTGTGTGTGTGTGTGTGTGTGTGTGTGTGTGTGTGTGTGTGTGTGTGTGTGTGTGTGTGTGTGTGTGTGTGTGTGTGTGTGTGTGTGTGTGTGTGTGTGTGTGTGTGTGTGTGTGTGTGTGTGTGTGTGTGTGTGTGTGTGTGTGTGTGTGTGTGTGTGTGTGTGTGTGTGTGTGTGTGTGTGTGTGTGTGTGTGTGTGTGTGTGTGTGTGTGTGTGTGTGTGTGTGTGTGTGTGTGTGTGTGCGCTTGTGTGTGTGTTGCGTGTGTCAGTTTCTGCTTAAGGTGGTCAAGCAGCAGCAGCTAGTGAAGGACTGGGATCAGACACCTGCACGATGTATCGTGCGAGCTCTGGTTGAATGGAAGCAGAACTGACTTGGGCATTTGTCATGCAACATGTGTGAGCTTTAGCGCTGCTGGAGTCCGTGGCCAAGTTTTGTGAGCAGATCTTTGCTATGGTGAAAGCTCAGAGGTTTGCTTTGCCACCTTCGAACAGCCACGCAACCTGGCTTGCCGCGCCAACCATGCCAATGCTCAAGAATCATGCTATAGGGCAAGTAGGACGCACGAGGGTTGTTCGAAAGCCCTATGTCACACCTTTTAAATCCGAAAGGCGCCAAATACAGACTAAGTGTGTATAGTCACTGGGGAACTGGGTCTGGCGAATCGCGGCACAACCTGGCAGGAGCAGCAGTCCTTCTTGAGCCCAGGGGATTGCTTCAATCCCAGCAAGCAGGCAGGCAGGCAGGCAGGCAAACAGACAGGCACGAGTCAGGAGAGATTTTGAGTCGGGACCCCCCCCTTTACCCACCAAGAAAGGTTGCCACGCCTTGGTCAACGCCTACAGCTGGAGATTTGTGCGAAGGCAGTCCATACAAACCTAGGCCTCCACTTTGAAGTCAGTCCTGAGAGGTAATAAACGCTCGCTTCCTGAACCTTTTTTTGGGGGGGAAGACCATTTTCGTGGCAAACAAAAAGTTAGGATTTTCTTTGCCAGTCCACTCAGGAAGTGAGAATGCCCTCTTCTGGCTGAGGCATAGAGTTCATCGCTGGTTCAGACTTGAAGTTCTGAGCTCAGTATGTCATCATAGGCAAATCGCACGTTGAAGGCACGGGAAAACCTGTGACTTCTAGCTGCTATGTGCCAACTGGTGTCAAACGCGTACTTGTAACAAGTTGGTTCGGCCTTCTGCTCAGTGGCAATGACCACAACAAATCAGTCACAATCAAAACCTGGGCAATTGGAGGGAGCAAGGGACAATCCCAGCCACAACTGGGTGACTTTTACTGCCGGGGTTTGATTAGTCCTTTCATGTTGCTGGTCTTCAAACAGACGCCAGGGTTATCGGATTTGCATGGCCCGCAATGTTTGCAGTCCGGCGCATGAGTCGAACATGGTTTGATGGCGTTCCATCTTGCAATATGATCATTATCACTTTCACCCCCTTGCGATTCAGTGTGCATGGACCCAAGCAGGGGGTCCCCAACAACAGGCTCCTCCACCAAATATGTTTTGGGGTTCGATGTTAACCTGTACGGGAGTATTTGAGAATGACATTGCACTGCAACCTCTGTGTGTGTGTGTGCAGACTCAGGTGCTTCCTTCGACTCACGCTGGAGCAGGTTGGCCTGAGAGTTGCCATGCGCATTTGGGGCAGCTTGCGGAGCGGTCGTCTGCCACCAGGTTGACAGCTCCAAAATATCATGAGACTGTTGTCTCGCACTTTCCTGCAGCAAATTCAGGATGTAGGAAGCCCCCTTGCTTTCCGTTTAGTATTGCACCGTTTTGACAAGCTCTTTGGGCTAAAGCGTTAACCGTAGGTGGTCGCTTGTCTTGACTCTTAATAAGTATCCACTTGGGCCACCATTTTGGCTCAAGTGGACCTTTTGATCTTTTGTCTTGTGATTTGAAATCTTTCTTTCCCCTACTCTCAAAGCCATGTACGCCCCCGCCTACGCTGGTGCCGCGGTAGCAGAGGCCAAGGCTAAGGCAAAGGCCTCCATGGCAAAGTACCTGGCGAGCCTCGTGAAGAGGGAGGAAGAAGGATGGACCGTTTTGGCTGCTGAGGTCCCTCAGGCACCTGACGAGCGTTTCTTCTCCAGCGCAGATGAGCTGGAGCAGGCCCCCCTTATCCCGGCCAAGCGCAAGGCAGGCCGATGGAAGATGCAGCCCCTGGGGTGGCGCAGGTGCCGAAGGCCCTGACACGCCCCCCAGGGGCGTTCCTGGAGCTCCTGAACCCGCCGGAGGAGCATGCCCGCTTGGAGGAGGCCCGCCTGGATGCCCGGGCAGACGCCAAGTGGCAGAGGCGCCGGGAGCTGATGGCGAAGGTCAAGGAGCAGGCGTCCTCGGAGGAGGCCCGCAGCCCCCCCGCCGGGGGGGAGCGTGTTCACCAAGGCCCTCAAGGTCTCGGAGGGCCTCTACCAGTTCAGCGACGACCAGATGGCGGGCGACTTCCCTTGCTTCGATGCGACCACGGCCACTAGGCTCCGCCGACTGCAGGCCAAGGACGTCCAGCGGCTCCTGCGAGGCTTTGAGGGCCCCCAACTCAAGCGGGGGGGCCTGGAGCGCGTTGTGGAGGCCTTCTACATCGCCAAGATGAAGTACGAGCATGAGGCCCGGCTCAGCACCCCGGGACAGCAGGTTGGCAAGCGCGCTGGCTTGGGGTACGGGGGCCTGGAGAACCGCCCTGTGGGCAAGGTGCCCACATCCTGGATCTGCCCCTGCTGCACCATGCCCTGGGTGAAGAAGGGCGCCACGAAGTGCATGGGGTGCGGCAAGAAGACGGAGCCCATTGACACGGCGACCAACTCGGCCACCCTGGAGATGGCGGGCACGCATTGGCAGTTGACGGTGGATGACCAGGGCAATGCGGTCTGGACGGCGGCCCGGTCCGCGGGTGCCGAAGGCCCTGACACGGACCGGGCCCGCGACCTCAAGCTCAGTGCCTCGGTGGACGTCAGCGAGCTGGCCACCGACCCGATGGCCTGCGAGAACCCGGACCAGGCCAGCTTCTCGGACTTCGTCCCCTCCTCGGTCCGGGCGGTTGCCAGGCGACAAGGAAGAGGGCCAGGAATGCAGAGCCTTCCACCCGTCTGCGGTGAAGGCCTTCAAGATTCAGACCCGGCTCAACGCCACCACCATCGCCCAGGAGGAGGCCAAGAAGGCGGACCAGGTGGAAGCGGTGGAGCGCTCCGCGGCGGTCCTCCACGAACTTCAAGGGGGGGCCATTGACGGAGGAGGTGATGGAGGCCTGCTCCTGAAGAACCTGGACTTGGACCTCTTCCGTGAGAAGCTGCTGGACAAGCTGGGTGCGGACTGGGGGAGACCCACACCGGAGCTCCTCCAGGCCCAGACCAC